ATTGATTGAAGAATTTGGACATAAAAAACCTAGATATATAAAAATTAGAAACTTATGAAAGTAGCAGTTGATTTGAAACAAGTGGTTACATTTTCTCAAACCATGTTTAGCTGGGACATGTGTAGTTGAGCACATGATGATTGAGTAGATGCCAAGCTATATTTATACTTTATACCAGAAACATTGTTATAGGTAGTCTGTCATATATTCATATACACAAATATTAGTTGCCCTTTATACAATAAACATAATTTAATATAAAGTCAAATGTCAGCCTTTCTATAAAACTAATATATCATCTTTTTAATTCAAATATTGTCGCGGCAAATTCAAATTTTAAACATGAACACATGCTCAAAATTCATGAATGAAGATAGCGAATATTTACTTTCAAAACTGCTCCATTATACATGTAACATAACAATATGCTTACCTGAATGTTATTCAGTCATGCTCGCTGTTTCCTCTTCGTTCAAATCATTCGTCGTCGCTTAAAAAAAGCGAATTTTTCGAACCATAAATTCAGAATGAAGGCTTGAAAAATATGGCGTAATGGCGGTGTGAATAAATGACGCTATCCCGGGAAGCTTTGCGCGCGTAGTACGAAAACTAGGCACCAGTCTGTAAAATTGCGCTCATCGTGAGAATTTTCGTTTCTTTCGATCCGAAGAGCTTCAAAAGGCCAGTTACCGGCTATATTTCAGATATTAATGGTGTGCTAAAGACAGATTAATCTCTTAGAAAATAAATAGTCCCAGTAATGCTCTTACTACATGCGAAAGAATAAAATACTACCCAACAAATATCAAACGGTTATTAGACACGTAAAACTTGATATCGCCGGCAAAGTCGATATCGCCATTTACATCTACTGTATATATCCGAAAAACATATTATAGCATACATTGCCGTGATTGATGATTGGATTTATTGTATGTTACTAAAAAGCATTTTTCAGTACACACCGTGCACGCGTGTTTTCCAAAATCGGCGTAGGGTGTGTCATCTAACACACCAAGATGTGTTTTTGCAAATTAGTATGAGGTGTGTTCTCGAACACACCAAGGTGTGTTTTCATTCAAAAGGTGTGTTATTGAACACACCTTATATGCATCAAAGGTGTGTAAGAAAAGGTGTGTAAAATACAGGTGTGTTTCTTAGCACACCTAGGTGTGTTTTGTTACACGCCATGGTGTGTTTTCTAACACATCATGGTGTGTTTTCTAACACACAAAGGTGTGTTTTCTAAAATTGCATAGGAAGGTGTGTAAAATGTACACACCTTGGTGTGTAATTAAACACACCTTGGTGTGTAATTGAACACACCTGTTTTTAGAGTGCACGCATTAATGCATTGTTTTTAATACGGGTGACATTTCAACTCTAAACTAGTAATAAAGTAAAAGTTTGATGAGTGTTCCAACTATGTTTTAAGTTTTAACTTAAATAAAATACATGGTAGAGCTATAACGACACAGCACCATGAAAGCGTTTTGTGAAGATCACCCGATTATCATGCAGTAAATAACGTACGTGCTGCTGCGGTCACTTCACACAAGTAAGCTTGTCAGTTAAAGTCATGCGTCTCAAACATGAATTTGACGCACAAGGGTCCTTGATCGTTTTGACTAACCGTGTTTTGACGTAGGTGCATGGCAAAGCGTCCTGAATGAATGAATGTAATATTGTACTACAACACACGTATATTCAGTTACAATGATAAACAAATTAAATTCCCCATCAGGAAATTTTCAATATAAAAAGAAAATGAGGTTGCGATGTTTGGTTATGAATGTTTTAGCTTTGTTCCCCTTACATAAAGCATTTGGAATGATTCTCTCGGTGACGTTTTAGTATAGTGATTGTTATACAATTTTGAAAATTTTATACCACCGAAAATTTAGGCCATGGCTTTAATATTTTCGCAAATGCCTCTATATATTGAGTCTATTGTCCTATTGTATTGCGAGTAGGCTTGCATGACCCACATTTAAGTATACAGTATACTTTTCGAACTCATTCATGACTAGATTTCTGCCAATATTAGAAATGGTTCGAAATGTCCTTTATTTACATCTGCTCTTCACGTTACTCAGGCTGCTCGAGTAATTTTGAAAATGGGTGAATTTCATTAATAAACTATACCTCGGGTCAAACAAAAATGAGAGTTATTGAGAGTTGGCAGTCACAAATTGTTGCAGTGGACATTTCAACAAAATTAAGGTGTAATTCCAACTATGTTTTAACTTAAATATAATACATATGTAGTGTTGGGAAAGCTTTAAGAACACTATAACCAAGGTCGCCGTGACTGCCAACTGCCATCCTCGTGTGATCCCGGGTTTACTTCTGGCCTACTTAAGTCTATTTCGTCAGGAGTAAAGGCGAGGCGAATTAAATTACGTTTGGTGAAATGTAAGTTATTAAATTAAATCACTTGACTCAAGGAGAGATACTTAACTTATAGAAATATGCGTCCTGCATGAAGATATAGGTTAATCATAAACATATACATCTTTAGTTATATATATTTATATATGATATACATCCTCGGATGTGGAAGCTCATCATCGGTTGCACTGCCACTGACACTGTGCTGATGAGCCCCAAAAAGGGGAAAAAGCTGTCCACATGCTCGTAGTCGGCCTACTACGCGGTAACGCAGGCTATACCGCGGTGCCGTTGTTTGAGCTTTCTTTTGAATGGCGGCTAAAATGTCTTTGCTTACGTGCTTTATCGTCGTTTTTAAACTGTGAAATACAGTGTGCGTGCACATAAGGGCTATAAAGCCTAAAGACATATACAATTAGGAGTGAGATACAGTAAATCATAATTTCCATGCAGCCAGCGCGCAAGCAGAAAACTTGGCCTGCCGCGGTTGGGTTTTTGAACCCGAATATATATCATAATGAACCCAGAGATATATAATAATTTCCAGAAAACCTGGCCTGCCGCGGCAGTTATGATTATGAAGATATATAGAGTACTATAATTCTGAGTATAACGCAAGTTTCATTGGCAGCATTGTGTCGCAATAGTTTGACGTATTTATATTTTTGCGTGGGTGTACAACGCACAAACTCTTATGCAATTCTCTCAGCTCCTCCCTGTAATTACACAAAGACTTTGTCTGTTATATTGGCGCGCTAACTTGTTCAATACAGACTACATGCTGTTAATCTTTTAAGAGTCGAGATCACAGGGTCAATAGCTTTAAACGATTATATATAAGGCTAGTTCAAACGTTCCGACATTATACATGCAACGATGACGCACGCGAATTACTAGAATTCCTGAATGGCTTTTTTACAGCAAGTAACGCCCCTACAGTCTGTCCCATACAGACTGGGAGGCTATACGTACAGACAAAAGAGTTAATTATAATCCCTCGACAAGTTTCTTTGAAAAGCTGACTTGTTCAAGCAATGATATAGTTACACATAATTACATTATATACCCTATATATATAAAATATTTCATAAGAACTTTATTTCACTCCCTCAAATTTTTGTTTCCTATGACAAGGGAATTTGTCACACTCATCAGGTGAATTTAAGTAACGTTATATTAGGAAACAAATTAATTAGCAGTTTCTTGTTCATAAGCTGCAATATTATATACATTTTGTTTTTAACAGGGTATTCTAACAATATTTCTAAGGTTGCGGGTTCAGAAACGCGGACACACCAGGCAGAACTTTTTGCTTGCGTGGTTTGGACGCATCCACTCGAGGATATATCATTATCATCCTGCCATATTACCGATCGAGTGAACAATTTCATATATCTCAAAATCTTTAATGCTATAGTAATATTCAACTTTAAGCCAGATGTGTATAAATTCGTGGGATTTTTTTGACATATATATATCAACAAAATCAGAGAGATTATATTCGGTATTTCAAATTGGCTTATGTATGCTGTGTTATTTCATGAAAGCTGCCAATGACGTCATTCAGGTAATGAATGGAATGTAAAATATTAATTATAAGTTATAGAGATGATTTTTCTCTTATTTTCTGATATGACATGTAACACTTATAGTCTATAGAAGAACAAAAATCAGCAAAATAAACATGCAACATGATATGATTTAGTGTTAGTTGCACAGGGGCCCTAGCCAGAGTTCTGTCATTTTTGAAAGTATATTTCCTGAAGCATGCCTGTAAGAATCAATGCAGAATGTTTTTCTCTTTGCCCTTATTCTTTCTTTATCACTTTACATTGCAATTCGACCACAATACAGATATTTCAATTAAGGTTGTAGCTCGGAAGTCGGAATTTTTTATTAGATCTATGCAATTCTTGCCGACAAGTAAGGAACGCGGGCACGACCATAGTCGCGGCGATCATCTATACTCGGTGAAATGTCATGCGTGTATAGAGTGATAGTATAGCCTATTAAATAAAATATTTTATAATACAGAACTTCGAGAGAATAAATTAATAATCGATGGTCAATGGTTCAAATAGGTTTTTTAAAATAAGTACAATATTATTTCAATCATTTCTCGACAATTTTGTTCGCCGTATAGCAAGGAAAGAGTTGAAGGGAAAAATAACTAACTTCTTTTTCAATATGGCGTCAAAGTACAAAGGCTGAGAATCAGGAATTATATTTTTAATATGCCATACTTTGAGCCTTTTAGTTTTTAATTAGGTTTTGACAAGTTTTACAATTAACAATTGGGTCTTATTTAATTTGTTGAAAGAGAGAAATTATAGACGATATGTCATATACAAACTGTTTTAAAATATTTCAATCATAACTCATTATTTCAATCATAGCTCACTGACACTGTCAACATACAGGGAGCATAGCGGGGCCTCGACACGGCTCTTAGCCAATCATCGTTCAGAATTTACAAATACTATATTACAAAAAGTTATTTCTGGAAGAAAATCGAGGACATTCCTGGTGACGGTCCTTGACCATCATATGAAGCATGCCCATGATGGTCTAATTTTGGAACAATTACTTGGTTCGACACGCCTTTTTGAACAATCTTGCGCAGGCCGATGAATCCGTGCGCGAAAAAAACACAATACCTAATACTTGACCATATCTTGAACTTTGGTTATGCAGCTGAGTTGTCCACAGCAGACACTGATCATATTTTATAGCGGTTCAGTCAAACAGAAAAAATGGCAGTTTGTACTAACATGGCAAAATAACCATCACCGCTATAGCGATTGATCAGAAGATCTCAGTTCCTTCTACGGCTACAAATTAAAGCACCTGACAACAAGCATTGTTCAAAAGGCATTAAGGTACAATGTTATAATTAAAATTACAGATCTCTTAGTTGAAATTCATGAAAAATGAATGAGCTTTGCAGCTATTATCATGTAAATTTCAAAGTTTGTGTCAAAATATCCCTTGCCATGTGAACCCCATTGATCGAAGTGATTGAATGAAAATGCTATTTATACTTTCATCGTAGTACAAGCTAGCACATACTATAGTATAGTCGGTTATAACTGTAACATTTGTTCTAACCCCGAGTTCGGCTTCTGAATTTACCGTTCAACTCAACACAATAGGGAGGTTTAGTTTTCACTACGAGTACGGCTGTCACGACAACTGTTGCACGAGATTTTTCCCGCCAAAAGTATGGCCAACTTTCTGTTGACTTTGGCAAGTTGTAGACGACATATTGTCGAGTACGAGATTTTGAACAAATCTCGTAATCGGATAACGAGTTCGTTTTAGAAATTTATTGATTTGTTGCTGCCTTTAATTACCAACTGAATGAATTTTTAAAAGTGTGCAGAGCATTTTATACTGCATTTGTTTTAGACGCTTAGTTTTTAAAGAAAAGCTATACTCATGAAAGTTTTTTAGTTTTAATTAAACGCCCGTTGCCGTTCGGTACTAAACAGAATAACGAGTACAACTTGCCAAGTTCAACAGACACCGGTTGGCTGTACTTTTGACGGGAAAAGTCTCGTACTTGTTGTCGTATACTCTTGATACGAATAAGAAAACGCGAACATTAGATGTAAAAACGCCAATGAATTTGACAATGCAAGTATACATTCTTAGGCGCCAACAAGTGTTAATTAAAACTTTCAAATGAAAATTTTCCCGACCGTATACGTATATAAATACGAAATAAATCCTCTGCGTATACGTATGGGCTAAATGCCTATCGTGCAGAGATAATCTTGCATGACATGCATCATTCGCCCACGACTTTCCGGGGCTTTCCCAGCTGTGATGACGGAATACGATGACGCTGTTATCAGATAAGTTCATACTGATCGACTTACTGAATTCCGGAGTTGACAACTGATTATGCAGTAACGTCATATATAGGCCAAAACGGCAAAAGACCAACAGTGAATCTTCTTGCTTATCAGCTGAAGATTTCGGGTTGCGGTATACAAATAGTACAGGCAGTCTCATTCATTTTTACATAGCAGAATTTACTTTGCATTGATGTGGATACCCAGGTGGCGGTTGGAACTGGCGAAATCACAGTAGCCGGGATGAAAAATCCTCCTCTGCCGGTATATTTATACCGGGTTGGCTTGGTTGCGGCCACCGGGGATTAACTGAAGTGCATAAAATTAGCGCCACGAATTATTGTTAAAAATTGTCAAATAGCCAAATGAACCAAATAGCCACATCACAACAAATTCGCCTCACTTTGAGTATGAGAATCACAAATGAGTGAAATGACAACCCAAGCAGTTCAATTTTTAATTGCTTTATATACATAGTTAATATTTTATATTATAAAATGTATTATCCTGAAGGACACCTTTCTTTATTTTGCTTTGAAATATGCTACAATCTTGGGTATGCCTTGGTTGAGACTGTCTTCGCATCTACATACAAAACTATACCAGTTGTATTGGGGTTGTTCACGACATCCGTTGAACTTGGGGAGAGGGGGATGACGACATTTTGGTCTGTTATCTGTGCCAGTGTTGGTAGTGCCAATAATAATAGGAAAAATACACATGAATTTTATAGTTCTCCCAATCTCGTTCCCCGAGCATGCCCGTTCGCAGGTTAAGGGTGGGCATAGCTCTGGAGAAATCGAATTGATTCAGGCCGGTGATTGGCTAGCGGCAGATAGTACGTTGGATTTTCAACGTGAGTCCTACGCATGCTCGGCAATTGCTGCAAATATAGACAAAGTATTTAGAATTTCTCGTCGAAATTTGATACTTTTTACACTGAAATCGATTGAAAACAACTAAAAATTCTGGGGGAAATATGTACGAAAGCTTCGGATTGATAGGGATTCAACAACCCGAAAAATACAAGGAGAACTTCGACGTTTCGGGCGAAGGCGCTTCGACTTCTACTGTTAATAGAATGACAGAATTTTTGCTGTGAAGTGTGGACCTGCGGTTGATGTCTTTAAAACTGGACTAAAGGTTTAAATTTTCTTGGACATTGTATTATTGACGTTTTCTCTCATATACTATATATGTGTTTTAAAATTTAAATTTTACTCTCCTGTCAGAATTATGGAGATTATATTTATAATGAGGAGATTATATTTAGCATGAATGCCGACAGTATAAAACGTCAGTTACGATGTATACAAACACTAACAGTACAACTCGAAGCGCCTTCGCTCGAAACGTCGAAGTTCTCCTTGTATTTTTCATTTAGTTGTATCCCTATCAATCAGAAGCTTTCGTACATATTTCCCCCGGAATTTTTAGTTGTTTTCAATCGATTTCAGTGTAAAAAGTATCACATTTTCGACGAGAAATTCATATACTTTGTTTATAGTTGCAACATATGCCGAGCATGCGTAGAACTCACGTTGGAAATCCATGCCCACCCTTAACCTGCGAACGGGCATGCTCGGGGGAACGAGAATGTAGTTCTCCTTGTATGTTCAGGTAGTTGTATCGCTATCAGTCAGCAGCTTTCATATTTTAGTTTAGCCTATGTTCCACTCCACAACAGTGCCGGTGTAGTGGACTCACGCGCTAGCTACAGCTGTATATTATGATTCAACTGCAATTATGCGTGGGTGCAGAACGCACATTTAAATTAAGAACTGGATTATTTTATAAATAAGATCAGCTTTTCCAAATAATTTTTTATATATCTATACAGTATATATATTCTTTGATCCATATATACAACACTTATACATAAATACTCAAATGTTGCAATTGAATTTAAAACTCCTTGATTTTGAGACTGTATAACTAGAATTTTGACATACAAGTTCGTACTCCGTATAGCGACAATGACCAATGATGAAGCAGAATTATGTTTGCAGTGTTTAACTACTGGCATTCCCAATTAGGTCACATGCGTGTACTTCACACGAATTGCGTCATTCTGGAAGGTCGTCAAAGAGCTTTGCGTGAAATGAGGCATTTTGCCAGAAAAAAACGTCCGCATCAAGCATGCATGTCTAGTTTGAAGTTCATTAATTAAGTCAACGAAGACGTACGAAGCACGCCCGTCCTTTACACATGATCACATGAACACAATGAACTATATAAGTCTATATTATAGTTCTTTTCGCATGATGTGTAACTGAGGCGCCAAATTATTACACGATCTGGCCGAATTGCATGCATATAGCATATTATAGCAAAACTATGAACTTTGAATGATAAACTCGAGGATAAACTTAAACATATCAAATAAATCACTCGTTTTGTTCTTTCAATAATCAAAACCCATATTTTATATACATTATTACAATGAAAGAGAAATCTAGACCGTTACTCGTTGGTATATAGCTAGTCCTTAATTAATATTCTTCAAAGAAAATAAATATTTTGTTTCTACCGCAGGAAAGCCTACTATAACCATTAATAAAAGATCCATAAACTTGAAAGTCAATCCAACTTTGCACCAACTTTGCAATGTCATTGTGCGTTGGGTATTGATCAAGTTTATATATATAGATTTACATTTTTATCAGGCCTTTAGCTGTCAAATGCACCATTTTTGTTTCACTGCGATAAAAAATGGCCAAATAACGAGCTAATTATAGCTGCGGATAAAAGTCATATAAGTTCATGGTAATTCGATAATGCGATCATTTGAACACTGTAAAAAAAAATTGACAACCAATAATTGGCTATCTAGCCATCTAAGAACAACGTACTTAATTAACCAAATTTTCATCGCGGGACAGTAGTTAAGCATGCTGTATCTTTCAACAATATAACCTGGGCGCGATGCCCCTGACATGCTGTTATCTGATTTTAATTTCGCCTCATTTGTATTTCTGCGGAAGCTTCTCGGCATGAATTTGATTAATTTTCTGCTGTATCACCGCTTTATATCTTCAGTGCATTGGATGGCATTTTACTTGGTCCCTATTAGGAAAAGCATGCATGTGCTATTGCAGTTTAGATAAAACTGATATAGAGAGCTATATCCAATTAATAATGTTCAGTTTACAAAATTCTTCAGAATGATATATACTAATACAACATTAGACTACTATATAAATCCCCGGTCAAACGGGGCCATGCATGGGAGTTGATGAGATCTAATTGCCGCAGTCACTCATTAATTAATGCATTGTTTTTAATACGGGTGACATTTCAACTCTAAACTAGTAATAAAATAAAAGTATGATGAGTGTTCCAACTATGTTTTAAGTTGTAACTTAAATAAAGTACATGGTAGAGCTATAACCACACAGCACCGTGAAAGCGTCGTTTGGTGAAGATCACCCGCTTATCATGCAGTAAATATAACGTACGTGCTGCCAGCCTGCTGCGACCACTTCACACAAGTAAGCTTGTCAGTTAAAGTCATGCGTCTCAAACATGAATTTGACGCACAAGGGTCCTTGATCGTTTTGACTAACCGTGTTTTGACGTAGGTGCATGGCAAAGCGTCCTGAATGAATGAATGAATGTAATATTGTACTACAACACACGTATATTCAGTTACAATGATAAACAAATTAAATTCCCCATCAGGAAACTTTCAATATAAAAAGTAAATGATGTTGCGGTTTTTTTTGTTTTTTGCATGTTTTTTTTTTTGTTTTTTTTTTTGTTTTCGGTCTTTTAATAAGCAAGTCTACATGTAAGCGGCAAACATTCTTAATAAACATACAACGGTAATGGTTGATTAATTCTTAGGAAACAATTTCTCTGTATAGACGTCTGTCTAATTTCTCATTGTCTAAAAGGCATAAGTATACTAGTATTAGTTGGCACTATATTTATAGTAGGCCTATAGGTATAATAATACTTTCGAGTGGTATGAATGCAACTACCTGCAAAATACAAGGAGAAATTAATTTGACTTTTCGAGTGAAGGCTGTCCTAACTTGGCTACTAATTTCCAGACGAAGTGCCTTCGCTCAAAACGTAGCCTGCATGGCAGGCGGTCCCTAAAATCGGGCAAGCCTGGGAGCTCGAAACGTTGAATTTCTCCTTGTATTTTTCAGGTAGTTGCATTTATACCAACCAGGTTTTGTTAATGAAACATAGAACACAAATATTATTGCACGTCAGAGTATTTTGTATCCTTGAAGGATAGTTCGTCTCGAAACGCAGCTAGGGGCGCACTGCGAAGAGGCTAAGGTTGGGGCAGTATCGCATTTTTCGACAACATTTCAGTCGCTAATTAAGATTCATTTTCCCAAAATTATTGGCGAGGGGAAGGAAGACGGGAGACGAGGTAAAAATGATTCCGGACACGCCATTTTTCACTAACCACCAAACTAATGTACCGTCATTTGTTAAATATTTCGGTAATATTTTTGTAAATTTTCCGAACATGATCCGAATTTTCCGAATAGGCTTCCAACTTTCCGAATAGTCTAAAAATTGAGGGCGGGGGGGGGGCGCACGCTACGGCCCTGTAGCATAATATATAATAGTTATGATTTACGCACAAAAGCAATCAGTTGAGTACAATTGGTACAGAGCTGTCCAGTCGAAATAAAGTTTCACTTACAAACATTTCTCAGAATGATATGAGACCTATTTAGAAAGGACGTACCCTGCGTGTCAGGCTAGCATAGAGCCTGACACGCAGGCTAGAAAGGACGAGGCCGAAATGCGACGAAGCGGACTAAATTTCAGCTCAAGATAGTGGCTTTATTGTTGAGAAAGTTCCACTGTATAGACGATAGTACTGAGCTAATTTGCTTAGTATCACTTCTCGCGTCTTGAAATACAGGCGTTTTATCCAAGACGTAAAAGTCTGTAGTTTTCCATTGTCAACAGACCGTGGTCGTGGACGACGTCTCAAACTCCAGTGGATTTTAATAATTCATTCTGTTTTGAATCTCATTGTCGGAATAGCCGTCGTCGTGACATTGCTGTCCCACATCGTAAGGTCTCTAATTACTATCCTGAATTTCTCAGCGCTTATTCTCTTGTATTTTGACGACATTTTGCCATGATTTTTAACGTTTCGAATGACTTAAATCCTTTTTGTGTTTTGGCGGCATTTCGGCGTCATGAAGCAATGATGCAGCAAATGCCGAGTAACTCGATTCCATAAAAAAAGAGCGCTTGCTTGTCCCGCCTTGGCGAGTAACTCGCCTTGCCGGGTAACTCGCCTTGCCGGGTAACTCGCCTTGCCGGGTAACTCGCCTCAATGATAAACAGGCACTTAACAGTCCATTATGCCGTCTACGGGACTAACAGCGTCAACGTGTTATTATACACAACTTGTGCAAATCACCCGACTTTCATGCAGTAAATAGCCCGCTATACGTGCTGCCAGCCTGCCAGCTTGCTGCGGCCACTTCGCGCAAGTGAGTGATCATTCAGTTACGCGTCTGCCTTTGCAGCGAACATGCAGTCCGTGATCGTTTTACGTAAATGCGAACGGCGTCTTGGATGGCGATGCAATATTGTACTACAGCACGCGTTATATTCAGTGGCCAATAGAATTGAACAACAAAATAGACGTTTTTGCGCAACTGCTTCAATTGAAGATATGCTGCACAGATCTTTTCTGCGGGTTAATAGCCCACCTGTTTTTAGTGTCTTTTATATGACGCTTCAGTTCTTCGCACTAAGGCCATATAAAAAATGTCCCATCCCGGTGGTGTAACCAGGATATTTAAAAAAATAAATTAGACATGCGGGTTTTTTTTTTTTGTTTCTTTACTGAACAATTCTAAATGTAAACAGCAAACCTTTTAAATAAATAGGCTACAACAGGAAAGGTCAATTAATTCTTAGGAAACAATTACTCTGTACAGTCTGTCTAAACATTGAAAAGTAGGTATAAACAAACGTACAGAATACAAATATGATGGCACGCGCGAGTATTTCGGATCCTAATTGAATTGCCTGGAAGGGATGGCATTTATTTGATCCATGAATCAAAGGAGAAGGCATTTGTTTGATCATGAAGGGATGGCATTTATTTGGCATTTATGGATCATGAAGGGATGGCATTTATTTGACTCCTATAAAAATAGGAAAAGCACTATAAAGCAATCAGTTAGATGAACTGGTATTCAGCTATCCACGGCAGTAAAAATAAAGTTTATTTTACAAACATTCCTCAGAATGATATGTGCCGCCTATATACGAGACTAACAGATTCAACAATATTATACACAAATATCATGTACGTGCTTCCAGCTTGCTGCGGCCACTTGACCCAATTCAGTGATCATTGAGTCACTCATCTGCCAAGTGACATAAAATCCGAGTGATCCGTTTAACGTAGATGCGAAGCATCCTGCATGCATGGCGATGCAATATTGTACTGCAACATGCATACCGTTATATTCACACAGTAGCCATATAGATTGGACAAATTAGAATTAAATAAACTGGGGGTTTTTTTTTGGGTTTTTTGGGGGGGGTTTTGGGGGGGGGCGGTGATAGGGGTATACAAATATGCCATCCGCCAAAATTTGAAGCAAAATCCACCTATCCGACAATGGCCGATCTTGTCTAAATTTGGGTCCGCATCAAAATATTAGATAAATCCGCAATCCGCTGTATTAATAAGATCTACAAATCCGGGTGAATATTCGCCAGATCCAAAATACGAACCGGCAATTTTTTCGGCAGAATCCAACGATCCGAAAACATATTCACCTCCCGTTTTTGCTCTACGGTTGCTGTATAAACCTTAGTCATATAAAAGGCGATTTTATACTTTTTTCTAAAAAGTAAATGAAGTGTGCGGGGTTTTCTTGTTTTTTTTTTAGCAAGGTCTACATGTATAAACGGCAAACATTTTTAATAAATGCAACAAGAACGGTTGATTAATTCTTAGGAAACAATCACTCCTCAGTGTGTCAAAACATTGAAAAGTGGGTATAAACAAACATATAGCCGGAGTTTTTATTGCTTCCCTAAGTAAAATAATTATGCGAAATAGGTCATACTTGCGCACGCAAGTTGATTTAGGTATAGTCACGTGATTGGATGGTAGTATATATCAATGGTAAAGCGGATCATTTTTCCATTCCTGTTCCACGAGGGCTACAGAACACATCAAGAATTGGTCGAAAGAGATTTTATCTTCTGTATCTGGTAAATATCTAGTTATTTATGAAAAATAATATAATGGTGCCAATTTCATTTTACTCTTACTTATATATTCATTCTAGTACGGGCGACTACAGTACACTCTTAAATATGAATCAAATTTGGCCTTTGGGCGTTTACAATTAGATATTCCCTGGTATTTCGATTTATAAAATGAGGTCAAATTGTTGGGGGTATATCTAACCCTCAGTGTGTAATAAGCATATTTGCTCCCGCAGTCGTGGTGTACGCCAAGGTGTTCACGGCATGAACGATTTTGTACCACAATATTAGCGGTGCTTCCTTGGAGCGTAACACTGATTTAGTATTATTCGGCAGAACAGAAAGCCGACAAACAGTTTGTAGTTTATATGCGCATGCAGAGAAGCGATAAATGTAATTTCACGAATTACTTCCTTATCGCGGGCTATCCAGATTGCTCGATGTGCTCAATAATAAAAAAAATACCAAATGCGGAGGCGATTTCATAATGCGAGCCCTGATGAGAAACCTGGAATTTTTTTATTTGACCTAATCCTCAATGAGAACAAACATTTTGTTATAGTCTTAATTAAACTCGAGGTTATACTATAGTGAGTGAGGATCGATAATTGGATCCGCACTAATCTATCTACGCTGAGAACCGCGGTTGAACGTACCGTTTAATGTTTATAGGCTAATTAATGAGTGATGAAATAAGAATGTACACGATATACGCTGGCTTCAAACTATACTGACATATTTTCCTAGATCATGCCGGATCGCGTACAAAATAGCGGCTCATTTAAATCCGGCACTGCAGAAAATACGTCCTATAAATTTTCCCATAGTCATGCACTTAAAATCAAATAATCTTGCTCATTAAAATTAATTTTAATTTCGTATTGTAAAGACTTGTTCACACTAACAATTCTGTCTTTTGTTAGTTTTCCTCCAACATATATGCCGGGCCGCCATGACATCAATTGCAAACCATCAATTCACAATTAAGTAAATAGTAATTAGTTATTTTTGTAGGCTTACCGGGGTATAGTCAGTAGACCTGCTCATATGAGCCCAGCTAACCGGGAAACTCGCCTGAGTGAGATCCGCCTTTGCTGACGCAGACTTGATTCTGCAATTTGTGTTCATATGAGAAACGAGCAGTGCAGCCCGGCTAGCTAGGTAGGACTTCGCCTTGTACAGTGGGATAAAATTACGCTTTGTCCAACCTGACCAGGATGGTGGACATTCTTGGCCGATTTTATTTGACCTATATTATTAACTAACTAAACATTACTAGACCTAAACAGACCTAACTATTAAAGTCATAATACATGCAAAGTGCATGCAGTTTGTATGTAATTAGTACATAAGACGCCGATTAGATTGGATATCCCACTCAGGTGAACTTCCAGGGAAACCGGGCTATGGACATGCAGTGTCCAGTGAAAATATAATTTAGTTAATTAGTTTGCAAGAATCACTCAGATAATGTGCACGCGATTCTAACCGATACAACCTATAATAAAGTCGGCGCTATATCACAAAAGCGTTTCAGTATGCAAATTACCCGACAAAAGCGTTAATCAGCTGCAAATAATGTACCGGCCACTACCACTTCACAATGCCACGCATCTCAAATGTAAACATCAGTGATTTCTGCATGATAAGGGTCCGTGTCCTTTTAGTTTTAGTTGGTGGAAGCATAGTTTGGATGGATGCAAAATTGATCTACGCGTTATATTCATTCAACAATGTTTTTGCGCAACTTATAGCTGCTTTGAATATGCTATATATACATCACATATCTTTGCTGGTAGTTTATAGCTCACATTTCTGCATTTTATTTTTACGCTTTTATTCTGTACCACTAGTTTCTCATCCCAATTGTACCTGGTTTCTCATCACAATTTTTTAAAAAGTAATGCGGTTTTGGTGTTTTTTTTAAGTCTACAAACAAATGGCAAACAGCAACAGCCACATAAAAACATCCACTTGTAGCCATGCAGTACAGTAATTAAATGAAAGAAAATATAAAATCAAATTTCAGTATATATAGAAAAATTTTAATCAAACAATCTTCATGCTCATTAAAAACAATTCTTAATTTCGTGAAGGGAACGGCAACGTGTTGAAATACAAATTAACATGCATGTTTGAAATGTGTAGGCAAAACAATTATGTGTTTTGTATATGCGAGTCCATGCATAATAATACTGAATAATGTACAGGAGCACTCTTAAATTTCTGGGTGTTCTTGCAACACCAAAATCGTATACTGATCATTGCGGCTGTAAAACTCGACACTGATTTAGGCTACATTCACGAAATAATGCTAAATTAAATTAGCACTCACCTAAAGTAAACCTTTGATCAAGTGAGTAAATAAATTTAAACGAAAAGCATTCTAATTTACAGTTTTGAGACCTGAGATACTTGGTTTGTAAGCGGTCCAAAAAAGTAACAGTCTGATGCATGAGTCGTGTTCATACGGAGGCGCCAAGCTCGCTCCGTTTAAGAACCGTGCTTAATTTTAAATTGTTACAGAAAAAGTGACGCTTTCAACAAAAACGTATAGTCTTAGTGTAAATTGATACTGACAAGACAAGTTGCCGTGACACCATTTTTGTGTTAGGGAAACATCGAAATCATACTTAATAAGTGTGATTGCATGGAACACCTATGACACGAAATATTTTTAACATGTTGTACTTATAGCAAATTACACCTTGTATTGCGAGTAATTCTAATTTACTGTTTTGAGACCTGAGATACTTGGTTTGTAAGCGGTCCAACAGTGTTCGTGTCCACAGGGAGGCGCCAGGCTCGCTCCGTTTAGTTCTAGCAATTTTTATTCTTTGTATGTATTTTCCAACTATGAAATTACAAAGAAAGCAAACAAACGCTTATTCTACCTACGGGAGTGTTGTCGAGCAAATCTACCGACCAAAGTGGGTTTAACATCTATGAAACCAAATTAAGACCGATTCTGGAATACGCGGCCCCGATATGGGGTCGTCTGCCACAGTATCTTACAGACGAGCTGGAGAGTGTCCAGACTAGAAGTCTGAAAATTCTTGGGTTACTTCTGATTCACTTCAGTTTCTAGAGCAACATCGGGATAATCTTGCCATTCGCGAATACAAAAAAAATCATTAATGATGAAACGCACCCATGCAAGAAATACATGATATACTTGACATACAGTGGCGAACACGTACAGTATGACCTATTAAGAACACCAAAACCTCTTCCACAATTCTTCTCATATACTGAAAAGGCATGAACTATCGTTTATTCCCAGAACAAACTCGCTATTATAGACAATATTTTTATACTCTATTCCTAGTAAAATTCGGCAGATGGGATAAAGTTTTCATATATATGCATGGGAACTCATTTATATCGCACTTGCAGAATGAGTTCCCACATGCACGTAGCACCCTACCTCAGCTAGCTGGATCATAGATATCTTATATACACCAGATAGTGCATCTAATTATTCTGCTTTTTGAAAAATTGAAGCCGTGATCAGACTCAGGATATTCCCATGAAATGAGAAGATTCGATCGTATGTTTTCTATTTTTTAAACAGGGAACTTAAACATTAAGTTAACTTATTCCAAATGCATTTTTAAACTATTCAAATGAGGAAAGTTATTGTTGCTTTTTAAGCGTTTATTAGCGAGTGGGAACTCACAACATGGCCGCCATCTATTCAAATGGGGGTAACCGCTGGAATATTCTTGGCTTCAATTTTACTGAAAGAGATGCGCTATCTAGTGTATATAAGATATCTATAAAGATAAGCTGGATATCAGCTCGTTTCTCATATACACAAATTGAATTTCATGGGACTACGACGTTTCGATCGCTGCGCTTCCTATAGAAAGCTTTCTTAATTGTTGTTGGTCTGAAATGACTATATAATTTAGCTACAACAACTTTTAGTTTAAAGCAGTCACTATATTATTATGATGAGGAGAATTATCAGTAAAACCTAGTAAAACACTGATAACGAACAACTTGACACAAGTATACATAATTAATAGTACGTATATAAGTTTTTTACTATAATAACCCAGAACACATGTGAAAAACACGTGCATAGAAATCTTACTCTGTTAAATTTTTCCATGCAGTCAGCACTATCATATTAGTAGGCTCATCATAGTCACTCACCCTTAAAATATTTCTATGCAATTTGGCAGTGTGATATTCTCGCTCAATTCAATTGCTATGTCAATTTGAGGCGGCAATTTTTTGTAAGAAACTATATATATATAGAATAATACATGGGTGCGCGGAAATACCAGATTTATTTCGAGTGTTGAACATGATATCTCACGACTCACGAGTGAGCGCAGCGAACGAGTGAGATAGTCATGTTCAACACGAGAAATAAATCTGGTATTTCCAAGCACCCATGTATTTTTCTGTTTATTATATATAAACAAAATTCAGTGAAAAACAATAAAACGTCCGTGCCCGTGGCAATGCGTTTTACAACAAATGATATTTTCACACGTAAAAATATCGTATTTTTTACGTGTATTTAAATACGATTTTTCTCAGTGGCCAAAAACTCTATATAACACTTATGTTTATATAATAAATAATCATATTGACATTTTTCAACTGCAGCACATGCAGTTCGATTTCGTATATGGGAGAAAGACTGTATATAAAATTGAAATGTGCTCTAATCTGGCTCTGTATAAAGTAGACATGTACAGTTACTAGGCTATATCAAATGTAACTGAATATTGCACTACAAAGTCCAAGACATGCAGTTTAAATTTTAATTCCTCTCATATAGACGTATATATATCCCCTCTTTATAGTAACTTATCTTTGAAGACTTTATAATAAAGTCGATAAGTTACTCCGACATACTACATTGTCATTGAACAGGGCTTGAAATAAGGCTCCCGAAGTTCCCGATCGTGGCATAATTGGCTGTCATGACTTTCCCTACTTTTCCTGGTTGAAAATCCTATTTTTTTGCCGATCATAAATAATTCTTGCCGATCGGTGATCGGCTTTTTAAATTTCAAGCCCTGCTGGCTGCTTTAATAATAGTATTTAACTAGAATGTTAACAGATATATATATACTGAACATCAATTTTGTTATAGATAGCTAGGCTACAGACTATAGCCCATAAAACTACTGTATATGATATATAACTTGATATACCTACCCTAGGAAATAACCTAACTTTAACCTTTAATCGCTGTCATATATAGCAACAGACAATAGTATTCAAATTTCGTATTATGAAACAGCGCTATCAACTTCTATCAACTAGAAATGTGCTGTACAGTAACGGCCATCAGAAGCAAAAGTATTTTATAATATGACACAAAGACACCTGTTCAGCTTGAACTCCCTATAAATATCTCCTTTCCGTAACTCACCCATTAAAAAGCTCTATAGTGCCACACTCAGTAAAGCGCTATTAACCACCGTTTGATACCCGATGCAAGTTACTATTCCGAGCAACGTTGACGTCAAGCGACGACTAACGCTCGTGTTAGTTTAAGGACCCGAGCGCTTGCCGAACAATTAGCAAGTTAAAATTATCGATTTGCGAACGTCATGAGGCGCCCAACAGTAAATCAATCGGGCGATATACGTCAATATAGACGTTACTGTTAGTATCATTTTCGGCTACGTGCTACAAGAAAACGGTCAAAAATCGTAAATTTTGGACAATAAATACTTCAAAATAGCGTGGGAATGCTTATTCTAGCTATCCCTGAGTTCTAGGGCCTTAAAATGTGTTATTTCTAACAAATCGTGTTCGATGATGAGTGAGAATTAATATGCTGTGACGTCGTTACATAAGTTTAATATACGTAAGGAGTTTGCTACGGGGGTCAATTATGCCAAGCCCTTTCCCGTGATATATATATAAAACGTTCACTTCACAATGGCTAGCAATGTGGTTATTTGCTGTAGACGAACGAGGAGTTGTTACACACAAAACTATTTCGCATCAAGGTTTCAATTACCGAGAATTCCGTGGCTTGTTTTGAACGGAAGTAAGTGGGCACTATTTTAATAAGTCTAGAATATTGTAAACTATGCTATGTATGTAAGGTCATTATCAAGTGATGTTTGTAGAATACTCCAGCATTATCGAGAATATTCGCGCGTTCTATATATTATTTGTTAACTTATGTTATGGTTCATAATAAAAATATTGTGGGTATAAACATTAGCCTATAAGTTTATAGTTTGGTCAAAATTTATTTAGCCTTGAGAACACATTTTATAGTAGGAGTAATTAATAACAGATTGTATAATGCATCAGGCATATAGCCTTTATGAAAAAGCCTGTTTTATTTTTTTTATACATTTATGACAAAATTATATTAGTAAATTTCTTATCGCTTATTTTGTAAATACGGGACAAAGTTAAAAGTGTTTGCACAAAGCCCGATCCTATAACATAATATATATATATATATTACATAGGTAAACGCGGATGATATATTAATATATATATGATGTCAATTTTATACATATATTTTATTGCTACTGAAAGTATCTTAAGTCGAGATTCCGTCCCCATTTGGTGCAGTTTTCATTTATATAGCCGATCGAATTTAATTTTGCCAGCTTCGTAGATAAGACTGAATTTAGTTTATGTATATGATATCAGATGGGAATACAATCATGCATGCAACATGCATCATTGTATTGCATTCGCTTTCTATTTTAATATTTCGCTGTAAGCTCTAATATATTGGTCGTATCCTCTTTATTTCTCGTGGCGATTTTCTTATGTCATAACCTAAACAAGTGCATGATTATTAATTTTACTTGCACCCACTTTTAAAATAATATTGGGCAAGTTGCCGCACCGTACAATGACGCCCACAGCGGTATGTACGTACAAAAGTAACTTAATGACCTCATAAAATTTTAAAAAATCTATGTATATAAACTTACCGAAGCTGGTAATTATCAATGGACAGTATAATGATAATAAGTATACACTCAAGGAGGGCTACTCGCAATCGCCTTGTGCCTTTATATGGGTTTATAGCTATATTTTTTAATCAGTGTATAACTCATTAATTTTAGTTATTTTCCTATAAGCACATATGAAATTTAGAAAGAAAAAAATATTTTTCATCACTGTGAGAGGTAAAAATCTTCGTTTATCCATCCATGAAGGTCATGAAGGTTAATCGAAATCCGTAAGTCTGTATAGTCACATAATAGAATCATATATATAATACTCCGCAGTCCGCAATATATTATAACTATACTATGAACGCCCTAGCTACGTTTAGCCGGTTGAGTTTCGGTTTACAACCATGCAATCATGATATGTATAAAGATATACCGAATAAACACTGCATAAGAGTGTATAAACTGACATGCAATGCCAGGAAGAGCACTATATAGCTCGTCTACATTTTGCCGAGTATTTTGGAACTTCGCCATAATGTGGTTCGCGATATATGTTTATAGTAACTGCATGCTGTATAAACGGCCACCAAAAACCTGTCATAGAAATAGCCCAAATGAAATTCAGGTATTCTGAGGAAGGCTCGAAGTACCGAGTCGAAAGCTCAATAAAAGTATATTTCAATCTGGAGAACTTTGATTAAAGTGGAAGTCAAGTCCGTTCTGCGCATCGGTTCTGCTCATGCATAACAATGTGAGGAACTCTAATGTGAACATTGCCCAAATTTCGAATTTTTCTGAACATAAACTCTATTTCATATTCATTTAGAAGCATAGAGAATGGTGTTAGATATTCAGACAGTACATCATATTTTAAAAAATACAGCAGTTCAAAATGTAAACAAACCGTCTGTTTACATTACGGACTTGACTTCCAAATTGTTAACCGCCGGTATAAACTAGCAAGTGTAACTACCAAAGAAAGCTTTTCTGGGATGGGTTTCACACATGTAGACTTAGAGTCTAAAACGTAGGCATAAAAAGCCACATGCTGACCTGAAATGTCAGCATATTCCACAGTTCTACCGAGTGAAGCTTCCTTCCGCCGCATGAAGAGTACACAGTTAGCGGAACTCAATATATACATTGTCGTCTTGTATTGTACGAATTTGTGTCTCTTTTTTGACACACGGTGCAAACACGTAGTTTTTTTATAACTACGAGGTGACCGAACATTTCCGACATTTCGTGGGAAAATCAGTGATATACTGGTTGGCTCATTACGAAGTTTGAAGGTAGAAATTTAGGTTACCGGATTACTCCCTTGCGCCAACATTGAACCAAAGAAGACTGAATTTAAGCAAAATTTATGAAACAAGATTGGTAGCTACTTACGTAGAAAATTGTTCATGCAGCAAGGCCAAGGGCATGTACATGGCACATACACATATATTGTTACAACGGTCAACAGCATAAGGTTTTCTTTTGTACACAACGGGAATTTCCTGCATCGTGGAATTGAAACGGACATCCTCTTGTCTGGAGTGGGATTATATTGTCCTATATATCACTAAGTAGACATGAGGCTTTTCAATTAAGTAAATTTTCTATATTTATTTTGCAACAAAAACACCTGTTTGTACATGCAGACATTCAAGAATTACAATCTACAAAGAATCCTGAGTTCTTACATAATATCGTACATAGAATCCTAGAAACGCCACTTGAAAATCAGAACATTCTATACGAAATCGTCGTTGGTGTGGTTTCCTGAATATTATACATGCCTATTTCTCATGCTGTTTCTTAAAAATTTCGAAAGAACTCTATATAGCTACCTCAACAAGTTGACACAAAATTTCCGCGAGTAAATTTCTATGTTACTTTAATTTACTGATTTAATACACATGTTACTTGAAAAATTGATCTTATACAGTAATTAGTTAGAAACTTTGTAATGTGCCTAAACTACTAGCTGGCTGCAAGAATACAATGCTACTAATAATATTAGTTCGAAATCTGAAACAGTATCTAATTATTTGATAATATTAGTGTTGATATTATTATAGGTTGCTAAACCAAAGCGGTAACGCCAGCATAATTAGATGTCAGTTAAGAACTACCCTCAGATTTTAAAATTTAATCTACTAAGGGCTGACTTTGGCCAAATTTGAATAGACTAGCCTTACGGCTTAAACGTACGCCCTGAAGCAGGATGGGAGCTAGCAGCTTGACTCGTCCAGGTGTGATGGTTTCCAATTACAGTTGTCAGACAAGGCGCATGTAAATCATGAAATATAACTCTTTATTCGTATTGCTTTTGCTTGGATATCAAAGTATTGATCAAGAGTTTATAGTGAGAATATTATAACGAGGTAATGGCGCAATAGAAGAGGCTAGAAAATTCTAAAGGCACTGCAACATGCAACCTTGTAAGTTTAAACATGTTGTTGACGAGTTATTCTTTGCACGAGTCGCGCAAAATATACGGCACGGAATTTATTCTGGTGCAACAACATGCACTGGTAGTTATGAAACATAATTTAAATTAACCCCTTTGAGTTAAAGACTAAGTTTGGGGAAAGAAACAGTGATTATTGTTAGATGTAGACTATAACCGCTTCGCAGATTGTGTACCGGTGACAGCAGCTTGTAAACATGCAAAGGGCCGATGGAGTGACACTAACCTATTACTGCCTATTCTTTTGTAGAAGTACCTACAAGTCAAGACATAACATTTGCAACATCGTGTAGTCGTTATGCCTACCGTCAGACCAAGAACAACAATCTACCTATGGGAGTTTCTTTTACAACTTCTGGACGGCGAGGAGAACTGCGCGGCTATCTCTTGGGTGAACCGAGAACGCGGGGAGTTTGTACTCAAAGATCAGAGCGAAATAGCAAAGCTGTGGGGGAAAGTTAAAGGAAGACCTCGCATGGATAAGATCAAACTTGGACGCGCCATGCGATATTACTACAAGAAAAAACTGTTGGCTAAGGTATGTATTATAATATGGCTTTATTTGAATTGGAATATGACACTATATTTTTGTGTGATATAATTTTTAAGAAATCATATATTTTGTCGCCATGTATACAAGCACTTTGTGGTATTTAGCGGTTATTTATGCACCCTATTGCTACCTCCTCCGCAGGTCATACAGCCCGTAATGAGTATGCCCTATTGCTTACTTAAGCAGATGAGGTGTTTTGTAATTTCTACTCTATGTCGACAAATGCTTTGTAGAATTTCATCTTTGAGTTGTATATATTTAATAAAGCATGACAAATATGAAACGTTAATCAAAATTTTCTCTATAAAATATCCAGGTTCCCAGAAGAAAAGCAGTGTACCGTTTCACGAAATTTGACTATTTGAAACAAAAGCAAGCCGAAATAATCCGCCACGACGATTTTCCCGAAATCGATTTCAACGACAACGCCATAATTGACCTAATCAATGATGATAAGTCCGAAGGCGAATCGTCACTTCCGGCGGAAGTGGAAGGCGATGAGGATGATACACCGCTGGAAAGTTTGCTTGCGGAAAAGAACCAAGTATTTCACGCCGAGAAATGTCAAAAGTTGCTTGCTGTGGAAGACGCGTTTGGTAGTATGGACAATCTAAATGAGAGTGGATGCAGTTTCTATGATTATAACAATGCTGCTGCAAACTTTATTAGTCAAAACGAGGACTATTATGTACCGTGCGCTGAGGTGACTCCTATATCCGTATACGAACGTCAGAACCTTCCAAGTTACATGAAGAATGGAGGTTTTGAACCAGTGAATTATAACGTGCCTCAATGTTACTACCCATCGGTAGACTATAACAACAATTACTCACAATGCGACGTAGAAACCGGTGGTCATTTAGCATCGTTACTATTGAACAGTATTTTGATGAGCGATCAACAAATTTTAGAGGACTCAAACAACTTAAGACAAAGTTATAATCCCGTTCCAGTATCGTGTACTTCCACTTCAGGAAATATTACACCAGAGGCTATTGTTTCACCAACACTTGCTCACATGAAAACCGAACCGTTTGTACATAATTCAGCAACGTCAGCACAATTTCAAGACATTGATGCGGACTCAACTTGGAGCACACTTAAGGAATTTGAAAGATTACTAATGATTAACAGAAGCTTTTAAGTTCGAACAGTTTTTAGATATAGTTTTATTATAGTTTTATTGTATACAGAGAAATTATTTAATTAATTAAAGAAATTATTATAAGAAAACATAGTATTTCAAAGAAAGTTTAAATAACAAAGTTTTATTTGCATTTTTCGTATCTCTATTTCAATTATGTGGTTATCGTAGAAAATTACACGAAATGTTTTAAATCCGATAAATACTGTAAAGTAACAATTTTTAGAACCAATGAGTATTTTAACAAAGTACAAAACAAGTGTAACTGCAAAGATTGATAAATTTTTATATTTATCAACGTTTCGACTATATTTCAGTCATCATCAGGATAATATATAAAAATGTTATCGATCTTTGTAGTTACACTTGTTTTGTATTCTGTAAAGTAACCGCTCTCACAGATTTTCGTTTACGTGTTTTTCCAAATATGGTTTTTCCAATAGGTGAGATAATAGGAAGATTTGGCTACCCAATTCAGAATTTTCGATAACTCACATGCCTAGTTTACTATATTGTTCTAACTCACAGAAGCGTAGAATAGAACAAAGGTAACTTAGCCTGCGTGGCGGGCGGTCACGCCTTTCTTGTGCCCGCTGATACCGCCTGCTACGCAGGCTAAGGTAACTGAGGTAACTTTTAATAAATTATACAAAGAGTTACTCACTAGATAATTTTAAAGCCTAGTTACCTTTGTTCTTCTATTCTGTTCTTCTATTCTGCATACTTTTGTAAACTAGAACAAAATAGTATAAGTAGGCATGTGAGTTATCCAAAGTCATGAAATGAGTGTAGACAAACGCTAGCAAAATTTGTCTATTCAGTGCGATGCAAACAAACTTACGTCACACTTTCATGCGTTATCATTACATGTCAGGTTTATAGCACATGTCAGGTTTATAGCATCTTTTGTTTCGTTAGTCATTAGTTCCACTCTAGTGGTCAGGAAACAAAGAAATACGCCACGTTTCGGTACGATACGATTGAAGTGAAAAACTGGCTTAAGGCGGGAGGCAATGAAGTGTGAAGTATTTTGAGCAATTGAAATATTTCAGCTCCAAACAAAGGTTAGATATGACTTAAAATAATGTTTAAACGAAATTAGGAACGCGCTAGAAGTTATGTAGTGGAAGAAGATGATTAAATTAATAGCATTCAATAACATTTGTTTTTTGTGTTACTAAACAAGGAATTTCACACAATTTCACTGTAACAAGCAATTTTGTTAGATAATGAAGTCACGGCGAAATATTTCTCACTTCTGATTGAATCCCGGGTAAGTGGGACCATACAAACAGCCCCTGTCCCATCGTTTTTGTCAACGATTGTAGAAATAACACTATTGTGTTAACTTAATATTTCTGTTAAATAAGTTAAATTTCCTACTCATTTTATATCACTTCCTGCCATAGTCTAGTTAATGTAACCAGGAATCTGTCATACTGATGTCCTTGTTGAATAACCGGACTATGTTCAGTGGATAAGTAACCAGGGGCCTGTAGTTTTTATTAACCTAGCATCATAATCTGGTTAATTTAAAACCAGGAAGTTATGGTATCAAACAACGGTTATGTTTTTGCCGTTGCATAATAGCATTAAATTATGTTTGTTTTCTGCCTATACACATGCACATGCAACAAAAAAATTTATACGTTAAGGCAAAGTGTAACCGAAGTGTTAAATTATTTGGACGAATTGAAGAGAGAAGTTGTAAATACTTCCGCCGTTCATGCATGTACAGTTAAATTAAATTCCCAAAGGTATAATAACACAAGAGTGATTTCTAAGGGGGGACTGTGGGGAACACCCTGTACAACAGCACTCCGCTATGCCATGCAATAGAACTCATTAGTGAATTTAGATAAAAGAAAACTTTTCGTGCATGGGAAATTAAGATCGTCACTAATCAAATATATGCAAATAATTCAGTAATTCATTGCGAAATATTCTTGTATGACTTGTAATGATGTGGGCGACGGCCATGTTGGTCCCTTTTCAACAAAATAATCTCATTAACTTCTTTTGAATTTAGCACCAACATGGCCGCCGTGCCATTGTCTTCAAATTCTCAAGGGATTGATTGCAAGTCATGAATTGGATTGTCAAAGACAGCAGACTGGCAGTCCAAAGCTTGTCAGTTTAATAATTTGAAAGAGAGACTGAACGTCTAAAAACGTTGCATCAGTTATAAATCATGGTGGCTTCGCTTCTACTTTTACTGAACAAATGCTGTTTGTTGCTGGCACTTCAAAATATTGATTATCGGCGTTGATTTGAACTGGTAGTTTAAGCTTTAGCTTTGCCGAAAGTCTACAGACAGTACAATTGGTGTCTCAGTCTAAATAATGCAGACTAAAAAGCAAAATGTCAATAAATGAGATCAATTTGTGTATATGCAGGTCGGTAAGATTTATCATTAATTTTACTTTGTGGTATCATATTGAAATGGTATATGTTTGCCCTGGACAGTCTGGTAGTGTTGCTTGATTCAACCAATTGGACATTTTGTGCTTGTGTGCTGAACGTAAAATTCATACATAACCCACTGAGACAGTGAAATGCATGATAGTGATGGTAAATACGATCAAAAGACCTCGATAAACTTGGTCTTGAACTGATTTGACTTTCAAGTTCAACAGCCATGAATATATATATATATATACCTATGATTTAGGATTCAACACTTATACCGCCGGGGTTGATATAATGAATTCAGGTCTTAAGAACATCACAACAATTTATATATGCATGCGCGTGATATTTTGGGGGTAACAAGATGGTCGCAACAAATTAAATAGTCTAGATGAAAAAGCGGTTGAAGGGAGTTATTTATGGAAATGTTGAGTGTAAATTTTATACATTTGTAGACATAACTGGGAGCGAAAAATGGGTAACTACAGTATAGGTCGCTTCCAATGCAGCGCTTTAGCCATGCAAACTGAGCTACAGAATCCAGTTCCGAGCATCAACTACAAGTTAATTCTTAAACACTAGCGTGATGCCAGTATAAGGGTATTCGTAAATAATTTAAATGCTTAGGCAAAAAAAATATGTGGGTAAAAACTTAGGTAGGGTAGGTTGGTTCTAACTTTTTTTAAATTTTTTCCTGAATGGTCACATTGTAATTCCCACGAACGTTTACCTCTAAGTGGAAAAACTTACAAGCATGATCCAATAAAAAAGTTCAGGATCGGGATCTTGGCGTCCAAAAGCTACAATCGCGTGCAAAAATAATAAGACTTTTCACGTTTTTGGCCAATTTAAAGTACGTCGGCCTCCCCCTGCCCCATGATCAATGTCGGAAAAAGTGGGTTGAATTTTCTCTTTTCAGTCATTCACACAACATTGAATTGGGGGTGAGGGGGGCATTTATGCGGTTGTCTCAATAATTTTTGCTCCTGATTGTGTCTATTTGTACTTTTGAATGAAACGTAATTCGTTCATGTTGATTCAACTTATTGCTCTAGGGAAGACGCTGAAACGTATGCCGGTTCATCAGGAAAGATGAACCGGCATACGTTTTTTCGGTCGCGATTCAGCCAGCAGGCAGACTGGTTGAATTACCTGGAGTTTGTCCGTCGCACATTGCAATAAACTTGGAGATCCCTCTCGCAGCTAGTAACAACACTATAATCACACCAGAACGAAACACTATACCAGTAAGAATTACATCTTACCATGAATTCGAAGGTCAGCAGTCTAGCGCTCGTGTTATAATGAACATATTCCTAATACTAGCAAACGAAACCGTAGCGGAACGCGTAATCTAATTGAAATTCCAATCAAGAATCCATCCCTATATCAAAGCACGTCTCTATATCAAAGCCCAAAGTGCGCCCAAAGTAATTTACTGACATTCTTTCTCTCAAATACAAGATCACTTTTACCAAAGGTGGATGAATTAAAAATTATACTTAACCAATATGATGTGAGTATGGCCTTCATAACCGAAACATGGTTAAATGAGAAAATCGACGATGCAGCAGTTTGTATTCGCGGGTATTCAATAGCAAGATGTGATCGAATTGATAAACTTGGCGGTGGAGTTTGTGCTTTTATTAAATCAGACATCCCGTTCAAAATTCTAACAGAATTTAATCACATCAATTTTGAAACCTTATGGATCTATGTACGACCTTATAAACTTAATCGAGGCTTCTCGTGTTTGATCGTCTGTGTGGCCTATAAACCTCCATCCAGCGACAACGCCGCGTTTATAGATCACCTCAGCTCAAAACTTGACCTCGCTCTCAGTAAGTACCCAAATGCAGGTATATTTTTACTCGGAGATTTTAACAGATGTCCTGTCTCATCTTTATTAAGACATTTTACTTTGAAACAAATCGTAAAACAACCAACCAGGAAAGATGCTGTCCTTGATCTTATTCTTACTAATATGTCAGACACATGTGACCCTCCTAAGGTGATCGCACCCATCGGACTCAGCGACCATAATTCCGTTTTATGCATTTTAAAAAAATGTAAATCATTGAACGGATGCAAGAAAATAAACATTAGA